AATTAAAGAAGTCTTGGAAGATTTGTGGGTAAAAGTATTAAGTTAAAAAAAAATTGTTATTTATTACATTTTTAATGGAAATCCAAAGAGCATTTGACACCATTATCATCCAGATCGATCCAGACGGAGCAGGAAAACGAAATTATTATTTTTTTATAGTCAAGTCAAGTCAGAGTCAAAAATTATTTATTCATATATATACAATGTACACTTATGAACGTCAAAAAATGAATATATTATATTAAATGCTTCTAATTTCTCAAATCAAGGGCGTAGAACGGAAGAGAAGAACTGGCAATAAACTCTCCGCCACTCTTTTTAATCGCCAAGTTTTTGAAGTGAAAACTTCTTTAGCGGCGTTGTACACTTTTTTGGAATGGGTAAAAAAAAATGTTAAAAACGCGTCAGGACACGTGACCTGATCGAAAATTCGTAAGACGGATGGAGAGTAGACAGCTGGCGCGGCGTATTTAATGTAATATAAATTGCCATGTTTGTGTACGATAGCGCAATAAATAAATATTGTATTCTACCACATAAATGATAGTACTTTTATACTGATAATTAAAGCAATTCGTGCAAAATTATTCCCTAACCATTCCAAAATATCAAAAATGCACAACGTTAATTCAAGTTTTCACTTCTGCCGGCACTCCCGGAGTGCAACCCGTTTTTTTTTCACAACGTTTGTAATGTTCCACATGAGGCGCAGGAGGCATGGAGAAATAGGTACACGCACTTACACTCTCGTGGGAACAACACGCAAATAGGTACATAGTCGAAATAGCTAATATCACCGCAAACACGAATTCAAGTACGACCAGTCACCAAAAGTAGCACCCGTTCACGAGTATGACGCATGGCCAGCCATTGTAATATAATCAGATGTTATCCTGATAGACAAATAGTTAAAAGATATTTCATACGATAATATAATAAAATCTACTGGATATAAAAGATAAGCAAAGAACTATGCAAACAAAAGTATTAGAATGAAATTGTTAAAGATCGAAGATTGGATTTCGAAGCGAGAATCGAATGCAAACTCGCTGATAATAGAGAGGTCTGTTGAGTTATTTTATATAGACTGTAGTCAAAGAGATAATTGTTGAAAAAAAAAATTAGTTTATTCTATACAAGCTTTTGTAAATGCTTTTTAAATAAACGCCCGCACATTGGGATTTTCCTATATGATTTTATCGGAAGTACAGTTAAAAACGTGAGAATTTTCTTTTGCTTATGGTTGAGAGATTGACTTGGCTCGCACAAAACAATCTAACTTAATATAACATGTATTTCTTGTGAGATACATTGTGTTTTCATGCGATCTCTAAGACAATGTATTTATTTAAACCATTAAAGACTTGTAATATCGACATGGTCAGTATAAGATGTAGTTAGATTAGCTTATTATGACAGAAGGACCCTCAAGTAAGGAGTAAATACATTAACCGATTTGGTATGGATCTCACAATCTTTTCATAGTAGAAGAACTGATTTGGGAGACTTGGTTTTTTTAAAAGTTATGTCTTTAATGAAATACCCATTGTTAGGAAGTTCTGTTTAAGGATACTCCATTTTAAACAATTTTTTTTATAGAACAGGGTTCAAACAGGCAGGAGGCTCACTTGATGTTAAGTGATAACCTGCCGCCCATGGACACTATCAATGCCAGAGGACTTGCGAGTGCGTTGCCGGCCTTTAAAAATTAAATTTATCCCAAATAATGATTTTAAAATTGTGAATAATTAACACAATTTAATCTCAGTGAAAGTTTATTAAACATTCGCGTTAATATTATGTAAATATTACCTACCTAGATATTATATAATATAGGTATATTATATAATATCTACGAATTAATGGACCATTTTTATCAAGCCAACTCCTAGACTATGCGGGCGGATAGGATCTGGTGGAGAGCTAACAGAAGATATAACTTGAATATTGAGTTCACCTGCGAATGAATGACACCACTTGTTCCGTTTCTAGTAATAACATTTAATTAAAATTATAGTACTTAATAAGATATAATTAACACTGATATTGATATGGGCTAGTTTTTTATTGAAAACTAGCTGCCCCCGCGAATTTAATTTCGCATTAATGTAATTTTTACTTAGCCTACCTTTTTAGTAGCAATATAGCATATGGAACATTTTGCTATGTTTGATTAAACATTTTTTTAAATATTTCTCTCCATAAAAACCTTCCTAAGAGTTTACGGATTAAAAATTACTCGAATTAATCCGGCCGTCTTCGAGTTCAGCAACATATCTTGTGATTAATTTTTATTTATATAGATAGAGGCGTAAGAAACGTATGTATGAAGTTCCGTCACCGTCCAATTGGGCATGAAGCGGGAATATGCGACGGCTACAACGAATATAGGGAAGTAGAATTGAGCTAGACATAAATTGATTCTTAGGTATATCAAGTCAGTTCTCTCTAATTTCCCTTACTTTAGGAGTGAGAGACTCTACAGTTGAAAAGCGAAATAAGTATGGCTCAAGTGTGATGGGTCTCGGACTATATTTAGACCAATCACATTCCAACCCCACACCGTTAACCTGTAGAATGAGAACCTAAGGCTGTTGCGGTGAAGAAAGTAGATAGAATTAATATGTATAGTTATATAGGAATGCATGTTAACCACAGAATGTGTCTGGTTTGTTTGGAATTTGCATATATTATAGAACTTACTAGCAAGGTCAAGTACATCTACCACTATAATGCCATATTAGGCTACGTGCAGATACACATGATATTTACTTTGAAATAAAAATACTAACAAATTTTGAGGCAGAAAGGTTTCACTTACAATAACATAAATAAATTGAAAAAATAATTATGATCAGGAGGGGCAAACGTATTGGCAGCATCATTGCAAGTGCGTTGCCGGCCTTTTAAGAATTGGTACAATTTTTTTGGTAGAAAAAACTGTATGTGGAAACATAGGGGTGGTGCGCGGCAATTACTGCCTTAAAAAACGCTGAGTTGTGGAACGACAGACGTCGAGGTGATACGGGTGCAACTGCGTATTCTACCACGACGTCCGATGATGAAACTGAGCTGCAGGTATTAATCCGAACAACTCCTCTGAACACTCCATGGTAAATGCGGTAGAAAATGCAGAGTGACCCCACATATCTACGCAACGCCAAGGGATCAAACCACTCGGAAGAGTGATTGGACGTCGACTATTCAAACCGCTCTTCGTTGAATACGGTCATGTGGAGCTGGTGCTGGTGAGCCTTTCTTTTTTCCTTCCAAATAACAGGGAAACTGAACGTCGTTCGATATTTCAACATTCATTATTCCGATGCTAGCTGTGGCTTTAAAGAGAGCTCCCAAAAAGATTCCGTTTTTGCAACACTTTTCATTGACTTTCTTGCTCCTAGTAGTAGCCTTGGCCTCAATAGATGTACTATCCAACACAAAATAATTAAATTCGTACCAGTTCCAGAGATAGAGCGTTCAATTAAACAAACTCTTCCGCTTCACATTATTAGATAGTTACGTATGCGCTGTTCAATATTATCAAGTCTTTTCTGATCATTTTTGCACTAACACTCGTACGCAAATAAAATACATTTAATGGCGTCATAAATTATAAGTGATAAAGATAGACGTCAAGATAATATCAAGGATATAAAAAATGAAAAACGCTGTTGTCCACTTTTTTTATTAACACAAATATATATCATTAAATAACTGTTTGGTCCATTAGCATATACCGTTAAAACTGTAAAGATCCTACAATTATTTATAAAATTTTAAGTTTATAGAATACTTACTTCCTTTAAATAATTTTCATGCATCATACGGATGCATGAAAATTGTTACTGAACATAAATTTTATCTTTTCCGGATGATGGTAATCCTTTATTACTTGATTCGTTTAAAAAGAAATTCACAATTACCGATATATCATTTTTATCATGAAGCAAGGATTATAGAGAATTTAAACATCATAAATTTAATACAGTCAAGATAACTATATGTATATAAATGTGAATTTTTAATTTTCAATCATAATTTGTGAAATCGGTGAGTAAACTTGTAGTAAAGGAAATTATTTTAGTAGTAATGAAGTAACAAAATATGTATCTAGATTGTTATTAGTAGTCTATGATTACACGGGTCAACATGAAATTTGACTTTGATTGCAAAGCATTAAATTTCGGTAGTTTAGGTCGTAATAAGACGGAAAAAAATATATGGCATGAAAAACTTTGCTTTTGCTATATTTCACGTCTCGAACTTTAATAAATTGACCACATATAAAACAAAATGCATCAGCATCGTATTTGCACTTTCGTGACGACATTTTAAGTTATTCTGGGCTTGTAAATAACACCTGATGGTTGTTTATCACTCGGGTGCCATCTAGCAGCACAGTTTAAACGTTAATACCGCACTGTCACCGCGCGGTCTTTTTCAAAATATTGAAATCAATTAAAATTTATGAAAAAATTGAAAAATTAGTGTCATTATTATAACTATCACAAAAGCAAACTTTAAACCGAAAAAAGGTATTTTATTTTCGTTTTTGTGCATAACTAACTGGAAAATAATAGTATAAACTTTAGGACAAAGAACGAAAATTTTTTTGTAGAGTCGTGTTATTTGTCGATGTAATTTGTGATTATTACAATTATTGTTTATAAAATATTATATTCATAGCATTTCATTAGACACTTAATCTTATTTAAAATATTATACTATTACTTCCTGTGGTTATTTCTTTATGTACTGACCCACTTATAAATTAAAATAATCCTTCTACTTGCACTCTTTAAACTTAATAACTGTCTCGTATGTCAAAATCTAATACATTTTGGACGTACGGGGTACGTCATACTTAGCGCAAAGTCTCGGTTGTGAAGCATAGACTTAACTTTGTTCTTATTTCACCCAGTCGTGGCCAACACATTGTAATATAATTATCACAAGCTAGCAACTTCTAATAAATTTATTTCCAAAATTTTCAGATCAAAATGAAATTCCTCGTACTAGCTGCTGCTTGCCTTGCCGTGGCCGTTGCTGGCCCCACTCGTGGTAGTTTAATACCCGACAGCGCTGGTCCCATCTTAATCCCAGAAGAAGATATTTCTACTGGTCCTGCTCTGATCCCAGAAAACATCGCTACTGACCCAGCTCTGGTCCCCGAAAACATCGCTACTGACCCAGCTCTGATCCCCGAAAACATCTCCATTGGACCTGCCTTAATCGACGACGCACAAAAGCAATCCAGCCTCGTTCAAGTTATCATCAACATCAACTCTAAAAGCCACGTTATCGAGATCCCCGTGGAAGACGCCACCATCCCCGAAGTCGAAGACATTAATGTTGGACCCGCTATTATTGAGGAAATCAAGCCTGACCCCGTTGACATTGTTGACGAGAGCATCAATGTTGGAGTACCTGACCTCCCCCTTGCCCCATCCCCCGCTGATATTGGCACCCCAGAGCTCCCAGGACTCGATGCTGACATCGCACAAAACATCCCCGAGGAACTCAAGTAAACAGTCACACAATGAATCCATGTAATTAATAACTTAGTACTTTTCTTTTGCATCGAAGGTGTGAATAGATAAGTGCCTGCTATATTTACATTATTAATAACCTAATAAATTACCTATATGTTTATCTACGTGTTTGTATTATGACCATGCAACTAATAATTTGTAATTTGCAAGATAAGGCACAATCGTTGTTTTTTAGTCTACCATTGATATACAAAACATCCTGGGGAAATGGAAAAAGAAATGGTGGGTTCTGTTTTGATTAGTCAGGAGCATCTCTAGTCCAACACGTGACACGATACGTCACTGTTTATCACAATCAAACGCGTTAAATTGTTATCAAAAATGACACATTTTTTATTCTTATCCATCTGGTTGGGTTATCTCTAGAAGAAGAATAAACTTCCAATAACAAAAGATATTTGTATAATTATTTCTTATTAACACCAAAATTATTTATCGAATTTTGCGTCTTTATTATAAGTTATATACTATGCAATATTTTAATGGATATATCTCTCCACACTTTGTAGGTGTTATTTCTATTATCTTAATATTTGTCACGTGGTATGATAATAATCATTATATATATCATAACATCAAATGCTAAAACCCAAAACTTCTTTGAGGAGAAACTGCGTATCACCGTATTTGAGTATCGCCCTCACATCTCACCAGAACAGACGGACGCTAATAAAACAACATGATGAGGTGCGTTCGAGCAAGAAACTTGTCAATGGTACGAAGGGTGTAACATAATTTTGTTTCAGAATACAAGAAAAAAATTATGAAAAATTTGCTACTAAGGTTTATTCCATCTTATACTTACTCTTTTATCCGTTTACTAATCATAGTATAATCATATTCGTATCCATTATCATATGGAACAGAACGATTTCTAAAGTTGTGCGTGTGATTTTAACGGTTTTTTTAAGCTACAATTATCGTTTTAGTAAATGTCGAAAACACTCCGTACCGTGGGAAATAAAAGTACAAATAAAGACATGGCCAGGCTCTCAACATCTTAAAAGCATTTTAAAACACAATTAGATTTTGTCGTTGCTTTAAGGAACATTATTATATATCCATGCTATATAAATTCCTCAAATGAGTGTTTTTTAAGGTAGTTTTTGCCTCGCACCACCACTATGTGGAACCAGCTGCCTACTGAAGTATTTCCAAACCAATTCGACTTAAGGTCCTTCAAGAAAAGAGCGTATCAATTCTTAAAAGGCTGGCAACGCACTCGCAAGCCCTCTAACATTGCGCGAGTGTCCATAAAAATACTACAAAGATTTGTATGCCTCAAACACGAAACTATGTAATATGGGGTGATTTCTGTTATACGAGACTTAGACAAAAGCGGAGCATCAGTGACAAATGTTGAAGTAAAAATTTTACCTTGTGTGCGCTGCGAAAACTGTTTAATAAAAATGCATAAATCATATATGAAGGCGTTGATCCTATTAACAAACATAATTAAAGTAAACTGTCTTATCTTTCTAAAAAGGCCCGAAGTATCTTTTAAGCTTTACTCACTATAACCTTTTTATTCGTAAATAATTTTGTGCTAATTTAATGCGAAAGTTCTTTTATAAACAAGATATGGTACAAAATTATTATTATTATAGTTATTTTACTAACCTAAACATAATAAATAAATTATAAATATCTTTAGTAATTATTAAACACACAAATGTAGAGTATTAACAATTACTTAATCTTTTTTTTTTCTGTGATTATTTGCAATCAGCCCCAAGGCTATGAGCGATTTTTTTCTGTGGTGCTGTCATGTGGAGTGACTTCCCATTGGAAGCATCTACTCATCTTCTGTCTAGAGCTACTGCCGGTCTTCTAGCTCTAGAATATGGTGACGTTTTAGTCAAATTACTTAATCTATAGTAGAAATAAATCTTAAAAAGTTAATGAGGCTATAGACGTAAGGCGCTGAATAATAACTATTATGTATATGAATCGTCTAACGAACGTGTAATTGTTGTACAACAGTCCACAATTCTGCGATATTGTTCATTGTTATAAATAAGCAACGATCAGCTTAATGTATAACCTGGAAAATAACCCAAGACTCTTGACAAGTGCTTCTTTAACCTCTTAGCACCAGCAACTACGAGCAATTTCTCTGTGACACAAAACAGGGTCTGTCAATATTCATTTGAACTAAAACAATGGTCAAAATCAAGCCAAAGTTAAGAGAAAAGTTGCTGATAGAAATAGAGCGGAAATAAACTTTTATCGGAACAAGAAAAGCAATTGAATACCTTTAAAAGCTTCGGCTCAAAGTCTTGTGGTAATAATTATATTATCTGTTACCTTAAACTTTTGTTAAAAGATACTAAGGATGTTTAATAAAAAGTGATAATGAATATGCTGGAATTTTTACTAAATGTTATTTAATAATTTTGACGTAGTACCTTTGAGGTTGTATAAATTTTTATTTTCTAAAATACACTTTTTGCAAAAATCTACTTGATTCCCTAAAAATCGTCTACCGCAACGACTACGGCATCATTTTCAAATGTATAACTAGGTGCGGAAAATAAAGAAAATTTTCGATCGATTCGAAGCTGGCTTCTTGATTTTCAGCCATCGCAATTCTGGATTTGGGTGCGATATTGGTGAAATAAAACAAATTTAGCGAGGTTTCCACGTCGTTACTTGCGTACTTCCTCAGAAAACTTTGTTATTTGTCCATTCTTGTGTATTTGTATTTGCATACAAAGTCTCCATAATAGAAAGCTCTGTGATTAAGGTATTCGATAATTACCGCCCCTTGGCTGTCCTAGAAAGCAGCTTACCTTCGAATGAAGTCTCCCATGATTCGCCAAGACGTTAATTTCAACTTTTATCATTTGTCCAGTCACTACATCGCAGGGCGTCTCGTGAGGGGTACATCGTTAATGGAAGCTCTTCCTCGCTTGGACGAGCAAATTATTCGCCCTAATTTTGCTCTCCGGAGTATATAAACCGACTCAAAAGACGAAGAACCCTGGAGCTCAGCATTGACTGAGCTAATATTATTATGGTAGATATTCCTAATGAGGAATATCTCCACCCGCAAATCATCCTACAACTCATCTGCTCATATTCAGAAGAGTGATTGCACGACGCGCTCAAAAAAAAATTCAATTTCATATATACATATGTACCGAGTGAACTTAAATTTTATATATTTTGAAGAACGCTCTTCTTAAAAGGCCGGCATCGCACACGCGGGCCCTCTGACATTGAGAGTGTCCATGGGCGGCGGTAAACTCAAACTCGAATTAACTATATTCATATAGGTAAATAAGTACACTTATGAACGCCAGAAAAGAAGTTAAATTAATTGTAAATTTACATTTACTACCAGTTCGCAAATCATGGGCGTAGAACGGGCAAGAAGAACTGGCAATAAACTTTCCGCCACTCTTTTTAATCGCTGAGTTTTGAATCATACGAATTGTTTGAACTGAAGCAAATCAATCCTAATGATTAGGTTCATTTATAAAAAGCTTTATTGATTAATTTACGTTTAACGATTTGGATTTATTTAGTGATAATTTTCTAATTTCGCTGGGGAGTTTGTTGAAAAAACTAATAAAATTTCCATATAAGGAGAAATTTATCTTCTGGAGCCTAGTTGGTCGTTTAACATTATCATTAACATCAGCGACAGCAAAAAAATAAATAAATAACTTCTATTTTTAAAAAAAACAAAAGATAATTTATCGCTTTTAAATATTATTATTATATCTAAATTCTGGGTTCTGGGTTTCTGGGTAAAAAATCGCACTATCACTATTTATTGAAAACCCTTCGTAAGTGAATTTTAGCAGTTAGCTTTGGAACTACGTATTTAAGTCACCTTTCTTAAACTAATTCAAATAAGACACATTATTTTAAACTACATTATTAATTTTGGAGTCCGTTATTATTTTTAAGAAATTTTGTATGATCAGACTTGACCGTTATTGGGCGTGAGTGATTTTAGGATGACCGTGGCTCTCACTTTTTTCAGGGCTTCCACGCATGAAGTACATCATATTAACTACTTAATATTTACTCCGTTTTTCTATGCCGATGCGATTAATATTTATAAATAGGAAAAGTTTAATTAAATTAGTGAATGTTTCAATTATTTAATACACGTGATTCCATGCCTGGTCTTAAGAATTTAATTGAGGATTGTGTTAATCCTAATTGATACGTAGAATTGTATTATTAATGCATACATTAATTGATTTTAATTTACAATTACATTTAATGGAAGACAACAATAATTGTTGTTCATTCATTCAACATATATTGTTGTTCATTGTTTTACTACGTATGATAATTAACCTGTTTAAATTATACTATAATAGATAGCTACCCCGTAATTAATAATAGCTGGTCCCTGTTAGTTTACCTTTTTATAAGCCTTAGGGGATATAACCATTTTTCAATTTAAACCAGCAGCTCCCGAGATCAGCACATTCAACTAAACAAACAAACTGTTTCTCTTACTACGATCTCTTGCTCAATGCTGAGAGCCATGATGCTCCCGATCCCGCGTGTGGCGTCAGAGACCGCCGAGTTTAAATTATACTAAATATTTGTTCTAATCTCAGAATCAAATTAATAGATAAAAGAAGCACCCAATACAATTTTCAAAGGCTTTAGCTTTTAGTATCATCTCTGTGCAGTGACAAGTGGAAATCCCAACGAAAGAACGCAACGATTTTTAAAAGACTGACAAAGGCTGCGAGCCAACTGGCATTGCATATCTATCAGAGCCAGTCACTTAACGTCAGGAAATTCCAGCACAGTACGCCGTAAAACACATTTACAAATCTACCACTTCCTCAATGTCCCTGTATTTTTAAGTTGAAATTAAAAATGTACAGATTGAAGTTATAAATAAGAGGTTATTAATTCATTATTATGGCTGATTTCTAATACAAATTTATAATCAGGTTGATTTACAACATATGATAATTAATTTGGATGACACCTTGCAC